AAAAATTTTACAAATTAATATATTTAAAATGTCTAAAAAGAAAAAAATGTTGTGTTCTATAAATAGTCGCAGAGTGTTTCTTAGTCGAGCAGCCGTCGTTGTTCCTTTTCAGATATGAGTTTGCAAATCAAGTTGAAATTGACATGATTTACATACTTTTTAATTGGGTTAATTTGGGTTAATTAGCTTGCATTAAATTAAGTCTATGTTAACTTAGAATTGAGGGTAAGCAAAAAGATTAGGGTAACTTAGGTTGGGATACCATAGGTTTGGCTAGGGTAACTTAAAGTTATGTTTGACTGTAGTTTTTTGTTGTCATTTTCGTTATATCGCACCGTCTTCATTGTTGTCTCTTTTTTTTTTTTGCACAGTAATTGATAAATGTGTCTTTTATCAGTTGATGATCAAAAGTAATTAAATGAGTGGAACCTAAAAAAAAAAAACACCAAAGAACACACACACAAACACAATGTGAAAAGTGCGTAAAATGAGCGCGAGACGAAGATAATTGTCCAGAGAGAATTAACAGTAATAATTATAAAACCGAACAAACAATTTGCCAAGTGGCTGGATAAATACCAAAAACGCCGAACCAGCAGACGAAGCGGAATTTCAAACATAAATAGCAAAAACAACAACAACAAAAACATCGACGCAGATAAAAACAAAGAAGCGTCGCGTCGCAGCAGAACTTTTCTTTGCAGCGCTGCGCGAAGGTAAGCAGCGCAGCAGCAGCGGCAGCAGAAGCAGCAGCCGATAAAAATGGCGTTCAAGTGCAACAGAGCCAAGTGCTGCACCGTTATTCTGGCGGCCATTGTTGTGCTAAGACTGCACATCTGTTTGGGTAAGTGCGACAGAGACAGCGCATGCGAAGCAATCCATTGTGTTTACTGTTTCTATAGTAATTGGAATACAAATGTTTGCACGCGTCATGCAAATGTCAACAATTAAATGTAAATATTTAATAGATAAGCGACTTGTGAAAGAGCGACGACAGCAGACGACAATTCTACAGCTATTAATTGTAAGAGAGAGGGCAGGAGAGAGAGGGAGGCTGTGATAAAAAAAGCATTTGTCACGAAATTGTGAAGCGCTGCAGATGGTGAATGAGGGGAAATGAGAATGTAATAAAATCAAAATAAAGAAAGAGAGAGAGAGAGACAGAGAGAAAAGAAGATAGGATAGTAAGAATGAGAGAGCGACAGAGAGAGAGAGAGAGAGAGAGAGCAAGAGATCCGCAATGTTCGTGTTACTGCTGGCAGGCAACGAGATGACAAGGGAATGGAATGAAATGGAAAACATCTAAGATTCATTCCTTGGAATGTTCCAATGTAGAGGCAAATATACCTAGATGATAAACATAAATAGGATAAAGGAGAGAGGTAGCAGATTAAGATTGTGGCAGATTAGGCAAAGGGCGGGGAAAAGAAAAGAGATACAGATAGAGAGAAAACTGAAAGAGAGATAAAAGGAAAAGAAGGGGAGGTGAGTGAGAGAGAGTGAGCAAGAGGAATGGAAATAGAGTGCAATAAATATTTAGTAAGTGACAGAGAGAGAGAGAGAAAGAGAGAGAGAGAGAGAGAGAGAGCGCGCGAGAGAGGTAAATAAAAAATTGTTCCTCAAATTTGGAGCACAAGCCTATGTAAACCAGGATAATAAGTACAAAGAGAAAGAAATAGAGAGGGAGAGTGAGTCTAAGAAAAATAAGGAACAGAAAATGTAATTATAGTTTCCAATCGATAGCAGCAATATAATCTGATAAGATATTATATCATTGTATTCCCAAAGCAGCCGAAAATAAGAATAATCTAATAATCATAATATCATAATATCCAAGCCAATTGAGCAATTGCTGCAACGTAGCCCACATCTAATGCATAATGCACTTATCCATCGTAATACTGATTCAACTCATCAGCAAAGCAATCAATGTACTCATTATCACGCCCACACGCACGTCCAAGTGCAGCGATCATAAAAGGCAAATTGCTCAAATTAGCTGGGGGAGCAAATCAAATCTCACGCAGCGTGGGAATGTCATTATAGAAGCAAAGAGAGAGAGAGAGAGAGAGAGAGAGAGAGAGAGACAGAGCTACTTGCCAAGTGCAGGTAACTGAGTTGCAGCTCACTCGGTTGCTATGCCTAATCATATGCTCAAAGGTACCGCACTTCATTTCAATTTTATGGGCTGTCCAGGTGCCTAACAGGTGTGAGCTTCCAATTTGACGCTATGGACAGCTTTGACACACTATTAGTAAGCGATATTCTGAGCATACCTGGGCGCTGCAGTCCAGCTGCCAGCTGTGCGTGTGTGTGTGATTGTGTGTGTTTAACGAACACACCCAAAAATATTTCAACACACATATACATATGGACATATCATATTTTGTACCTTTGGGGGTTAGAGCAGCCGGTAGCGTCAGCAGCTGACCTCAGCTCTGAGTTCGCAGTCCCTCAGTCCGCTCGCCCTCGCCCTCGCCCTCTCAGATCTACATCGGCCGCGAGTTTATCTCTCTGCACATACTACTATATATTGACTCGCAGTTGGCTTCTATTTGCACTTGGGCCAAGTTGAACGTACTGCGTGTTCCTCCCGTCTCGCTCCTCAGCCCCGTCCATTCGCCAGGTCAAAAGGTGTCGAAATGCCCAACAGCTGCTGGCCGAAACTTGACTGCATATATATTTATGGGAGTGCGACAGAGAGGGAGAGAGGGAGAGAAAAAACTGAATTTATGCGAAATCAATTAAGTCAATAGGTGGTTGTGTGTGTGCTGTAAGGCCCCCTACTCTGCACCTCCACCTCCTTCACCTCCTCCTCCCTCCTCCTGCTCCTCTCTTCAATCGTTTAGCTTCGTTTACAGTGCTCACAGCTTTTCGCATTTAAGTGGCCGTGGACGCTTGGCACTTGGCACTTGGCTCGGCATCTGCCCCACCATTTAAGCGCATGGCACTTCAGTTACCTCAGCTACCAGCTCCTCCAGCTCCGCACGTCCCACTCCGTTTCGCCTCAGTTGCTAACGCAGTCACACGGCTTTGATTAAATTGTTATAATTGTTTAATATTTTGTTGTTGTCTTGGGTCTTATATTTGCTATCGGAGCTGCGCTCGTGATTTTGAGCATTACACGAGCTGTAGATCTATTGATATTAAAGTAAACTGTTTGACCAAGAATAAGACGAATTTCAGTTTGTTTCCCTGTTAATAATAATAATATT